GAGTGGTGTGTTTAGTATTGTTCTGATCAGTTTAATACCTTCCGCGTCTCCTATCAGTGGACGTGTACACGGCATTGATTTTTATCTAAGCCGTAAACTTTTGCACAGCGAAGTATATTCACTGCCATTGAAAAGGAGTGCATGCGGTGGTGTGGGCCCTCAAAAAGCTGCAACCTACTTGTATGGACAACCGTTTACCTTACTCACAGATCACATTAAATTTGGGGCACTGCGCGGTCAAGCTAATGTGACACCAGATAGGTAGTGGTGTGTTTAGTACTATTGTTATCAGTTTAATACCTTCCAGCGTCTCCTATCAGTGGGCGTGTATGCTTAGCCATTTTAGGGCCATTACACCTGGGACCCGAGCAAGGTCACCTCGTTCAACAGGCTTGCAGCGTATCCTCAGGAAGAAGAGCCTGAACCCTTACGACTGCACGTGTCTTACCTGTACATGGAAAGCTGCTGTGGTTCCTTGATGAGCCAGCTGCCCGTGATTTAACATGTCCCGTGGAGAAGCACTCTGTCATAGCAAGCCTCACCAAAAAAAGGAGTGGTGTGTTTAGTATTGTTCTGATCAGTTTAATACCTTCAGCGTCTCCTATCCCGGTGGGTGATGTACGGCATTGAATTTTGTAACAGGGAGATGGAAGGCCCCACGGTGAGTCTCTGGGGCGGTCAAGCTAATGTGACACAAGATAGGAGTGGTGTGTTTAGTACTATTTTTATCAGTTTAATACCTTCCGCGTCTCCTATCAGTGGTCGTGTACACGGCATTGATTTTTGTAACAGGCAGATGGAAGAAGATGCTTGGTTGGTCCTCCTAACTGGAGACTGTGTTGCTGTACGGGTGGCAGGTGGAGCCTTTTATAAAGTACACACTGCTTTATAAAGCCATTTATAAAGTACACACTGGCGGCTTGAACCCAAGTTGGTGGCGGATAAGTCACGCAAGTCAACAGGCATTCAGAGCTAAAATACAGCAGCGTGTGGACCATTTTTAGCCCAAGGCAGCTCATCTCATCAGGCCTTTTTTACATAGGGTCACTGGCAGATATGGATTGACACCTGTCCTAGGGATCCCTGATACACACTGACACAGATCAGAATAGGGACTGTTCCTCCTACATCGGGTCACTTGGCAGATATGGATTGACACCTGTCCTAAGAGTCCCTGATACACACTGACACA